ACTGGAGCCCAACCAAAAATTCAGTGTGAGGCTGGTCTTTCTTGAGATCCCTCCCAAGGGGCTTAGCTAACGATAAACTGAAAGGACCTTCCGATGAGGTGGTTTCACTCATGGGACTCTCCCTTGACATCTCCCACGAGGTGCCTTTTCAATGGCTCTGACATACCTCAGCCCCCAAGTTTCCAGGGAGTTAAAGAGGCACAGGTAGTCCACCTTATGGGCTCCCTGCTTTGACACCCCCTCCCCTTCTCCTCCTGGCCTGAATTAGATGTCCTCTGTGTTCTCATAGCACCCCGTGCCGATGCCCTTGCCTCGCTTCCCACCCAATTGAGCACAGAACGCTATGTCCTGCTCACCTGCAGTCCCAGAAATTATCACACTTTTCAAAGCAACCGCAGTAGCCACGGCATTGTGATAGTTGACATCTACTGGACACTTACTATGTGCATTTGGAAGCAGGTACTGTTGTGATCCTCACTTTCAAAGCAAGGAAACTGAAGCTCAAAGAAGTGCTTTTGCTTCCAAAGTCACAAAACCATAAGTAGTGGAGCTGGATCGGAACCCAGGCAGCTTGATTCTGGATCCATGCTTTCAACCAGGACTCTGTGATGTTTCCACGTAGTAGATGCTTAATTAATTGATATTTGCAGGTGGATACACATGTGGGTATAATTGCTGTATTTTGAGAATTATGACATGACCCGTGACGTACTTAAATCTGTGCAGTGATGAGCTGTGTTATAGTTGAGCTCCTCTATACTTCCTGCTTCTGTCCTGCCACCCTCTATCCCTGCGCACTTGCTCAGGGGAGGCGGTTAGAGCCAGGCTTGTGACATGGCCTAGATGAGAAAGCGAGTTCTGGCTCTCCCATTGGTGAGCATCACTTCTGTGGGCACGTTAGCTATCCTTTCTTAGCGTCGTTTTCCTCAACTGGAAATGGGAATACTAACGGTGCCTACCTCTTACAGTAAACTTAAAGGAAGAACATAAAGGGAATAGTATGTCACCATTTTGGAACATGGTCATTCAACATACATGAGCAGGTTTAGTTATTGTTACCACTCTTGTCACAAATGGTTGTTTTTAAAACTTTATTATCGAGAGCACTCCTTCCTGTCAGTGGACCAGGAGCTCCGAGCCAGGGCGGGGGATAGTAAGTGGCACGTTTCAGTCTAAAGTCTAAAGTCACCCAACTCAGACAGTGTTTTCACCCATGAATTCCAGAGGTTACAAAGCATTCCAGATCGAACGGAGTCTTCATCCAGTACCCACATCTTTGTCCTGTGGTGTACACTGAGGTTCCGGCAGCCTGGGCAGAGAAGGGAACCGGATGTCCGTGGTCTGTACCAGCCATCTGCTGCATGGTGGCCACACAGTTGGAGGGGACGGCTGTGTAACAAAGGCCTAATACCGAACATCTAGCAAGAGTTGCCATTTATTGCCCTAACCGGTTTGACTCAGTGGCTAGAGCGTCAGCCTGCAGACTGAAGGGTCCCAGGTTCGATCCCGGTCAAGGGCATGTACCTGGGTTGCAGGCACATACCATTTGCAACAGCATGGATGGAACTGGAGAGCATTATGCTAAGTGAAATAAGCCAGCCAGAGAAAGATAAATATCACATGATTTCATTCATATATGGGATGTAATAATCAACATAATTTGATGAACAAGAATAGATCGATCTAGAAACAAATGGGGGGGGGTTAGAGAGCAACCAAAGGACTTATATGCATGCATGTTAGCATAACCAATGGACACAGACATTGTGTCCATTGAATAACCTATGTTTAGTTTATTA